CCCCAGACTATTTTTTGACTATTGTTGAATACTCCTCCTGTAGAGGGGACTGGGGCTCCGTGTCGTGACTTCGCGCGGTGTTGCAACTTGTTGCAGCGTCGGACCTCGGAATTCGTTAGAAGGTCCCGCCCGGCTTCCAAGACCAGTGCTTCGAAGCCTCCAGGGCCCTTCCGAGAAGGCCCCTGCCTTCTAAGGAGCCCCGCTTGAGCAGGGACCGACCGTCCCGGCATTCCTATAGTCCTACCACGAAATGTTCTTAGAACCCGAAAATGTTCTAAAAACAAAATCAATGCTCTAAGAACAGGAGCCCGATGTGACAACACAAGACAGGCTCCGCCAGAAAGGTTGCACGAACATGTCGTGGAGACCACAAAAGGTTCTTAGAACATTCAATCACATTTCTTGGTTTGCCTGGCGAGTCTTTCAATCACATGGCGGCTGAGGTTGTGTAAGTGATATACAAGTCATTTGCTTGAGGAAGGAAAAAAAAGGTTCTTAGAACATGCGTTGGTAGGGCTATGGGCGAGCCCGCCGCAGCAGCAGCAGCAGCAGCAGCAGCAGCAGCAGCAGCAGCTCGCCTCGGGGCCTCGCCGCCGCCTTAGGGGGCCCCTTGCAAGAGGGCCCCCGCCTCCCGAGCAGCCCCGCCGCCCTCCTCGAAGGCCCCCCCCCTCGCGCAAAAAAAACCCTTCGTGGGCGCCGCCTGCCTCCTCCTCCTGCTCCTCCTCCTGCCCATCCTCCTCCTCCTGCCCCTCCTCCTCCTCCTCCTCCTCCTCCTCCTCCTCCTCCTGCTCCTCCTCCTCCTCCTCCTCCTCCCTCTTCCTCCTCCTCCTCCTCCGCCTCCTCCTCCTCCTCAGCCTCCCAGCCTTCAGGAGCAGGAGCGGGTGCGCCGACGGAGCTGGGCGGAGGCTCTCCTGGCTCTGGCATGCGGCCCGCGGCCGTCCCTGCGAGCCCCGCAGGGGGGGGGGCCCTCCTGGGGCTGGCAGCTGCTTCGGTGCCCTCCCTGACAGCCGCGGACGTGCTGTATCCATCCGAGAGGCCCCAGAGGTCCCGGCCGCCTCCCCGGGGGGGGGGGGGGCCGAGATCGAGGAACGCCCGCCGGCTGAACAGAGCCCGTCGTCAGAGACCTGGCCTACACTCGACCAGGATAGTAAGGATGCGCGGTAAGGATGCAAAGGCCTTGGAACGCCGTGTTGACGTTTTCCGTGCGGAGCGCAGCAGAATGCCGAAGGATGCCGAGTACTGAAGGGGCAGGGATGCAACGGTAGCCTTGGAAAGTTGCCCCATCCATACTATCATGGTTGACTGTATGGCCTTGACCCGACAGCGGACGTGCTGCTGCAATCCGAGGCCCCAGAGGTCTCGACCGCCTTGTGGGCGCCGCCATGCGAGGAGCGGCTGCGCAGACGGAGCCGGCGGGCGGCCGTCCCCGCGAGCCCCGCTGGGGGGGGCCCATCGAGGGCCCTCGGCGGCTGCTCTTTACTAGCGTACAGCTGGCCAGACAGCAAATCGCATGGGAACGGCAGAACTCACCGAAAATGCAAAAGCACGATTTCCCGAACCCATCGAACATGCCAATGCCGTCTTTGGGGCGTGGCCGGCGGCAATGCCGGCGCTGGCCTTCAAGGGGCCACAAAACCTACCCAAGGCGAGCCCTAAAGAGGGGGGTCGATCAAGAGACGCATGCCACCCCTGACATCCGCGGACGTGCTGTGTTAATCCGTGGCACCCCGAGGTCCCGGCCGCTTCCCCGCGGTCCGTCCGTTATGGCCACAGGCCCCTGGAAAAAAGACCCCCGAGGGCCGAGATGGACGAGGAGGCGCTCGTGGAAAAAAAACACGTCGTCGGAGGCCTGGGCTTGGCCCTGTCGAGAGCCACCCCGCGCAGCTCGAGGTCATCCCATCGCTCCCGATGTTCGGCGGTGGACAAACCTCCCTTTGATAAACCCCCCTTGAGTGAAAACGGCCTGGGACCGAAACCGACGGACCTGGACCCTGACAGCCGCGGACGTGCTGTTTCCATCCGAGAGGCCCCAGAGGTCCCGGTCGCCTCCCCGGGGGGGGGCGAGATCGAGGAACGCCCGCCGGCTGAGCAGAGCCCGTGGTCGGAGACCTGGGCCTGGCCACGGCGAAGGCCATCCCGCCAGCTCGTGCTCGCGCCATCCGTGGGCGCCGCCAGCTCCTGCTCGACCCCCCCGCCGCCACCCCGCCTCCTGCCCCAGGACTCTGGCGCGGCCTTCCGGGCCTTCGACATCAACGGCAACGGCGCGCCGGGGAGTGGGGGGGCGAGAGGTGGGGGGGCGAGGAGGAGGAGGAGGAGGTGGAGGAGGAGGAGGAGGAGGAGGAGGAGGAGGAGGAGGGCCTCCAGCGCCGCTGAGCGCGGGATCTCGCGGCGTGGCCGCTTTCTCGCGTGCAGATGGGAGGCGCTGCATCGCGGCGGCTGCCGCCCGCGGCATAGACGGACACGTGGCGTTCGCCTACGTGCGAGGAGGAGGAGGAGGAGGAGGAGGAGGAGGACCCTGACTCCTGATCCGCCCTACTTTGGGCGATTTCGAAAGTAGGGCGGAAATTTCCGCCCTACTTTTGAGGCCCCTTTGAGCGTCGATTTCCGCCCTTGAGGCTCCTTTGGCGTCGATTTCCGACGCAATTTTAGGTCGGAAAATCATCCAAAGTACGGCGGATCAGGAGCCAGGGGAGGAGGAGGAGGAGGAGGAGGAGGAAGAGGAGGAGGGAGGAGGAGGAGGAGGAGGAGGAGGAGGAGGAGGGGAGGAGGAGGAGGAGGAGGGAGGAGGGAGGAGGAGAGCGCCACCGCCCCGGGGGGCCGAGGGCCAGCGCACGCCGGCAGGGGCGCAGGGCGGGAGGGAGGTCGTCATCGAGCGGCGGCACTGCCGAGGTCGGCGTGCTCGGGACGTCTGCCGCGGCAGCATAATATTAAGGCGAGCGTGTCCCTCTCTGCATCGGGCGACGAGATCTATAATATCCAACTGCTCCACCAGGCCAATCCTGGGGCCCAAGAGCTGTGTATACGCCCTCCTGGCTTGGCCAGGGAGGCATATACACAGCTCTTGGGCCCAGGATTGGCCTGGCCGGGAGCAGTAGATATGCATAGATCTCGTCGCCCTATCTGCAGGAGGAATATCTAAACATAGTTTAAGCAATGGGCTGGGGACGGTATGCTTTGTACTGTTTGACGGTTCTGGTGAATTGTTTTGAGTATTTCTTTACTCGTTCGTCCAACATCCGCCTGCAAGGGGACATGCCCGACCTAAGCCAGGCCTCCAGGTAAGGGGATCCGGTTAGTAGTAGGGCACTGGGGCCCCTAAATTGGCCAGAATCGCTAAACCAGGTTTGCCGTAGCTGGTGTGTTTCCGGGTGGCGGCAATTCCGGTTAGTGGAACGAGGCGGGGGGGCGTCCCCCAGTACACATTATTGAACCAGGTCCTACTAAACCCAGTTTTGCCAATTCCCGAATAACGTAGCGCGCTCAACTGCACGGAAGCCAAGAGGATAATCATGATACTGCAGCGACGGTAATCGAAGAAGAGGAAGCACCATAAACAGAAACTTTTGGCGCTCCGTGCGGATTTCCTGGATCCGCGCTGGGGCCCCCTGGCGACACCTCCGGCGCCGCCTCTAGCGCGCTCCGCACGCCAGGGAGGGGGGTCCAGCGCAAATCCAAGAAATCCGCGCCGAGCGCCAAAAGTTTATGTATGTTTATGTTTTTGCCGTTCTTCCTTTTCTTAATAACGCAATGCGTTCAAATGCATGGACACCACGAAGATAACTCATTATGAGCAACAGCGAAACACAGATCGCCGCGCCTCCTGCTCCGCCGAGGCCTCCCACGTGGGGTCAGAGCAGACTGGGCCGGAGGATCGCGCCGCATCGTCGATGCGGCGCGATCCCCCGACCCCATCTTCTCCGACCGCATATGGGAGGCCTCCAGAGAGGGATAGGGACTCAGACTTCGGATCCGCCATACCTTGGTCGGTCTCTCCGACTTGGAATCGTGTCGGACATGCCCTCAAGCGATGCGAAAAAATAGGGCGCATTCTTCCGCAACAGAAAGTAGGGCGGATATCATCGCAACGGGATGGCGGTCACAGCGACGGCCAAGTGGGGCGGAAATGGATATCACAGGAGCTAGAAAAGTAGGGCGGGCATTTCTGCCCTACTGTCGAAATCGCCCAAAGCACTGCGAAACCCAAATCAGGGGAGAGGGAGGGGGTTCGGGAGGCGTCGGAGAGGGGGATGATGACCAGGAGGGGGGGTATCATGGCTGGGGCCGCGATATCTCTCATGGCCCCATTTGTTCTGTCAGCACATCCTTTGGCGCCCTACCCGTCCGCGAACATGTCTTGGGCCATGATACGCGCTCTCCGATTCTTGCCGCACCCGACAGGACGGGGAAGGAGGAGCAGGAGGAGAGGAGAAGGAGGAGAGGGGGGATGAGAAGGAGGGGGATAAGGAACAGATGATGCGCGGAGGGGGACCAATGGCAGAGGTGGAGCGAGGGAGGGTGTGGTGAGCGGCGGGCCAGAGACCTCGTGAGGAGGAACGCTGCGGTCAGGAACGTCTGCCCGGCGTGTCTCCCCGCTGGTTCTAAATGGTCCACCACGCCTCGGCGCCAGATCTCCGACGATATGATTCGTTGCAGTCCAGGCGTTGTTCCCAGATTCCAGCCCCTGGGAGCCGTTCTCGGGCCCCAGGGCCATCAACAAGTGCTCGGGGACGACAGAACGCCCTCGGGGAAGGGGTCGGGATCTCTCGGGCCGCGAGTTGAGCAATCCACACCAATTGATGTCAAGGTTCGGCGCGACATGCTGACTGACCACGCCCTGGCACCCGAGTATCAACGGCCCGAGCTTCGCTTGGTTTCCCGCCCCGCGGAGCGGAGCGACACGCCATCAGCCTGCACGACAGCATGGCGCCAGAGGAGGGCGGGAGTAGGTGGAGATGAAAGGGAGGAAGAGGGGGCGCACGAGGGGGGGAGGATGATGGATCTGGTCTTGGTCGAGTGCTCATGGCGGCGTGCTCTGCTTTGCGAGCCACTGCTCCCGTCCTGGGGTCAGACGCACCCAGAGGCGAGCACGACCGGGTGTGGATGGATTTGGCTCAAGGCCTGTGGACGCTTCAGGTCTGGCACGCCGCCTGCCTCCCACCTGCCTCGCCGCACGGTCCCCTCCTCGCCATGGTGCTCGAGGCGCAGCTGCAGCAGGCCGTGCTGCTGAAGAAGGTGGTGGACGCCATGAAGGACCTCTGCAAAGACGTGAACTTTGACTGCTCGGAGAAGGGGCTCCAGGTGCAGTCAATGGACAGCTCGCACGTGGCCCTGGTCTCGCTGCTTCTGCGGGAGTCCGCGTTCTCGGACTTCAAGTGCGATAGGCCGACCTCGCTTGGAATGAATGTGGATTCATTGGGCAAGATCCTGAAGATGTGCGGGCAGAACGACTCCTTGAAGCTTCGCTGGCAGAACGACGCGGACGTCGTGAGTTTCCAGTGCGAGAGCGGGGAGGACGACAGGATTGCTGATTTCGACTTGAAGTTAATGCAGATCGAGAGCGAGCACATGGAGATCCCTGAGCAGCACTACAAGGTAGTGGCAAAGCTGCCATCAGCGGAGTTCCAGAAGATCTGCCGCGACCTCAAGGAGTTCGGCGAGACGATGCAGGTGAAGGCCACCAAGGAAGGCATCACATTCACCGTCCAGGGCGACATGGGCGCTGGCAACGTCATGTTGAAGCCGCGCGCGGCGGATAAGCCCGAGGACACGGTGAGCCTCACCGTGCACGAGCCCGTCTCTGCCACCTTCGCTCTGCGCTACCTTGTCAATTTCGCCAAGGCCGCGCCACTGTGCGGCACGGTGGAGCTCGGCCTTGGCCCAGATGCGCCTTTGCTTGTAAGGTACAACCTCGAGAATGCGGACAATGGTCACTTGCAGTTCTATCTCGCACCGAAGATCGACGAGTGAGACCGTGGGGGGGTACGGCTGAGACTGTAGGGGGTGCGGCTTGCAGTAGTGAGGGCCAGGCTGCTTGTTGTGAGTTTGGGGTGTGCTCAGTGCCGCATTCCGCGTGCACGCGGCGGCAACTGTGACCTTGGAGCTGTGCACAGGGTCTTCTTGCGCACGCGCTCAATATGTGTGCAGGTTGGGGCTCGTGCTGGCATCCATGATGAGACCCGTGGAAGTGGAGCCAAGGGCGCCCTCGAGGGCGCGAAGTTGTCCCAAGGGCGCGCTCGAGGGCGCGAAGCTGTTCTCGCGCTTCGCGCTTTTCGCGCTTCGGCTCCGATGCCTCCTCCTCCTCCTCCTCTTCTCCCCCTGGGGAGGCTGCGCAAGGGCCCGAAGCTGTTCGCACTGCGCGCAGCGCGAAGCGCGAAGCTGGAAGCCCTCGTGGAGCGGCTCGCGCCGCGCCGTCCCACGGAGACCTCCCCCCTCCGCGCGGCGGCCGGGCTGCCTCGGCCCGGCGTGCCCGGGGCCGCGGCTCCCGCTGCGGGCGCGGGCGTCGGCACTCCTCCCCTCGTCAAGCGGGGGCGAAGCGCCCTGGCTCGCCTAGAGCCCCACCAGAGAGTGTTCTAAGAACCCTTTTCAGGAAGGAAAAAAGCACACAGACACAAGTAATCGTCGATCCCCCAGAAAATATGGGAAACTATGGGAAGTGGGGGGGAAGACAGAAACCCAGAAAATATAGGAAAATATTAGGCATATTTTTATTTGTGTGTATTAATGTGTGTGTCCTGGGGCCCCTTCACTTTTGTGGTCTGCACGAGATGTTCTTGGAGCATTTCTGGCCGGGACTGTCTTGTTTTAACTCCTCGGGCTTCGGTTCTAAGAACGGTGTTGTTGCTCTTAGAACGTTATTGGGTTCTGAGAACAGTTCGTGGTAGGACCGTAGGAATGCCGGGACGGTCGGTCCCTGCTCAACCTCGGCCTCAGGAGGAAGGCCTCGTAGAGCCGTGGGTTCGACCAGAGCCCAGAGGAACTCGGGGACAGGGCAGGGCCAGCTGGCGAGCCGCGCAGGAGAGACACTGTTGTGACCCGGGGTCGGTTTTTCGAAGGTGGCTCGAGATTTGAGCATTCACTTTGAGAGTGCAGATTTTTGTCCCCCCTCCGCGGGGGCAGCGATACGGGGGGGAGGGTTCGGGAGCAAATCATGGAAGCCTTGGTATGCCCTCGCAATTCTAGCGTCTGGGCGTCGATGAGACAGCGCCGACTTAGCGCCGGCCTGCGTCGGTTAGCGTCGATTTAGCGTCGGCTGGCGTCGACCAGCGTCGATTCGCAGGAGCCGACAAGGATGGCGTGGGAGGCTCCCATGCGTTTAGCGGAACAAAAAGCCATATAAACATAAGCTTTCGGAGGTCCGCGCGGATTTCTTGGACTCGCGCTGGAGTTCTTGGGGCGGCGCCGAAAGCGCCGCCGGCGGGCCCCAGCGCGGATCTGAGAAATCCGCGCGGAGCGCCACAAGTTTCTGTCTCTGGAGTTTGGTTGTTCTTCGAATTTCAATGCTTACCTTTTTTTTCTGACGTGTATGTTCAGTGATGGCGGTCATTTCTGAAGTTTATGTTTACATGTATGTTTATCTCGATTAGTCTTGGTTTCTTGCTTATTTTTTCTGAAGTTTAAGTTTATGTGTTTGTTGTTGCTTATGTTTAAGTGTTTGTTTTTGCTTTTGTTCCTGAAGTTTATGTTTATGTGTTTTTTTCTTATTCTAGGGATGGGATCGGGGGGCAGCGCGCCGACCCCCCACAGCCACTGGCCCGTGGATCGCTGGCAGGGGGGGCCCGTCGGCCCGCCCGGCCCTGGGGTGCCGCGCGGCTTCGCCGTCGGGGGCCGAGGCGCCCGTGCGTCGGCGGCGTGCGTCGCCGAGTTCGGGCTCGGCGTGTCCCCCGCGGAGCTGCCCCCCTCCTCCTCCTCCTCCTCCTCCTCCTCCTCCTCCTCCTCCT